GAGAGAGAGAGAGAAAGAGAAAGTGAGAGTGAGCATCTCATGAGAAGGATAGAGCCATCCGTGGTATATTCCAAAGGTCCGACCGAATGGAAACGATGGATACTGAATGATGATAGCTGAAGGACTCCGTATTCGTCCCTGATCCCGGAACGTCCGGAGATGATTTCGACCGATTCAAGGATATACACGCGATCAAAAAAGAAAAATGCTGTGTCGCCAATCGGTGCATTTCTCATATGGACATCAAAAACAGATTCAGTGGCAATAAGATAAACGGGATTTTGCTGAAACAAGTTCCGCGATAATGTCATTATTTTGATAGATGATACAAAGTGGTCGTATATCTTAAAAAATGTATTATGATTTTGCAATCTGTTAATAATTAATGTAAAAATCTAATCAGTCACAACAGGCAATGCATGATTATATTTGAATTATTTAGACTAATTTTATTGGTAAAGCTATCAGAATTTGTGGCTTAGGATATTATTTAAAAATTAATACATCTCCAAATTGTTGCTATCAAATAAATAAAAATAAGGAATAAAAACAAATCAAATTGTATTTGACTAACTATTATAATGTTCCATAATCATGATACATTTATAATCACATTTTTTTCTGCATTCTTCTATACGAAAAGAGGAGAATAGTGAAACTTAAGCACCAAAATAGGGTTGACATACGCACATCTAAATATCAACGGGATCAGGTCTCATTTTATGTTCCTGTTTTGCTACATAATTAAGCAACGAAGGGGGTATAGGCACACCGATGATTACCATACCATAGCTAACACGACGATAAACTTAATGGTTGCGTTATGCAATTGTTTTTTCGCACATTTTTGCGCTCTAAGGGTGTAATTCAAAATAATGATAAATATCGTCGTCACGGTAAACGAATGGATGGCTTGGGAAGACTGTAACATACTTTGCTCGTAAATGTCGTTCTACCGTGTGTTCGTCAAAGACGACAAAGACACTCTCTAGTCAATGTAACGTAACGCAGAAGCCGCAGACCCGATCGAATTTAACTGCCGCCGTGAAGCGATGGTGATAAGCGTTTTGCGCAAATTTCGCAGAGCATATCTGCAGCTTGTGAATTTTGATATTGTTGACATTTGAATACTGCGCAAGAGTATTATAGACTGCGCGTGATGTAAGACTAATCGATTTACGACTGTCGGCACGACGAAAGCTGTTAACAGAATTTTGATGTTCATCTGCTAATTTCTCTCATCGTAAAGGCATCAAGAGCTTTCAGTTGTGGACCTTTTTGATGCATAGTTTTTTACTACTTAGTTCTATTTTACACCTTTCTTTTTCTGTGTATTTTTTGATTTAGCAAAGTAAGATAAATAATTATATAAATAATTATATAAATAAGATGAAGAAATCTTTAAATTATATGTGTCCTGTATTTTATTATTAGGTTTTGTTAATGCAAGAACTTTTATGTAAAATAAACTTCATTTATATTCATTAACGTAATTTCTGTAATTTTATTTAATTCTACGTTCCAGGTGGCAGGATGTATGCATCTCGAATGTAGCAGACGTGTTTTATATGACAGCGACTTTTCACTTATGCGGGGAAAAAGCGACGAAAAAAGTCGACAGATTTTCATTGCGCAAGAAAGAGACATTAATGTTTCTTCTTGAGTCATGTAAACTCGTCATCGAGCTCGAGACGCTTAGATACAATGATGCTCGACGATCATCAATGGGTCAATGCAAACATTACGCGAGCTTGCATTGCGCGTGGCTACCGTGGGGTCCAATAAAAGTTTAGTACCAATGGCGCAAGTACTTAGAATAAGTGCCTAAGCTATTTGCTAACAGGAATAGTGCTCGTACAGAGAAATCTTTAGTCTATGCGTTTGTTTCAAGGTGGTCAATCAATTGCGGTATCTGAAGATTAAAAGATTAAAAATAATTCAAAACTTATTATTTTTGCCAAAAAACTCAACTTAAAATATACTAAATAATTTCTTAAAAATATATTTAGGTCTCTTTGCCTTATATATAATTAAAATTAATTTTTAATTTTAATAAATCATTTTTCTTCACTATTTATATAATTACGAAATTATCATTCTTAGAAATTAATTATTCCTCATCATCATTGTTATTAAGTTACAAATAATTGTCGTATCTTTATTGTACATACAGTGACAATAAACAATAAAAGATTTCTTCGGTGCAAAAATATTAAATTTTCTTAGAATGCTATATTCCTAATTGCATAGAGACGTAATCATCTTGGCAACAAAGTTGATATGTCTCTCAACTGTCGATTCTTTTTTTCCGTTATAGCTAGTAACGATTTGCAACGTCGGCGAATGTTAATAAAAAGCTGTGATAAACATTACGCGTGTCGCGTCGCCAGATTTATTACTCGGATATTCTTTGCGAAAAAAAGCACTTATCTGAATGCCATAAAAGATGCCTTTCATTTTTGACAAGTTTTCCAAGTTTTGCATTAAATAAAACATACTTATTAAACAATTATCAAGTGTATTATAAATGTAAATTATAAAATAAAATATTATAAGAAAAAAATTCTACGTTTAAAAAATTATTGCATAGTTGAAAATTTGGATTTTTTAAAGCCTTTTATTTTTATTTTTATTTTTCTTTATTATTTTATAAATTTATTTTTTACCATAAATATATTTTACATTTTTATTCATGCGCTTAAATTATGTTTATCAAAACTTTTATTCATTATTATTTAAAAGGTTAATTTTAGTGCACTTGAAATATAAATCACGTCAGATATAAATAAGCGATTGTAAAGCCTAATGAATTTTTAATGTAGACAAGTTAAATATAATCATGAATAAAAAGGATTGCATCTTCCACTCGAGGCGTGAGAAATTTCTCTGATCGTGAGTTAACTCGCCACGCGCGATGATTTTAGAGGCGTGGATGGCAATCGTGCGTGGGAAAAGATTCACGATTTTCACCTGCAAATTTTCCCGAATTGAAACTACAACAGTCTTGCGTGTGTTGTGTTATGTTGTTGATTACAATCAAATATATACTAAAAATAAAAAACATCTATTCTGATATTTCAATCTAGATCCAGAAAACATGCGATTTCCTCGTTTGTTCTGACTGCACATTCGATGTTTCCCCATTTTCATCAACGATCATTAACTTTAATCTCAGTTTAATTTATTCCTTATCTTCTTCTAATTTATAGAATTATATAATTATAATATATTTACGAAGGAGATCTCTTTCTGCCAAAATTATTTTCCGTTTTAGAGAAAGTAAATTTAAGATCAAATTATCTACATTGGTGGAAATGAGGATTAATGAATATAATCATATAAAGATGAAAATCATGTTTGGCATAATCGCCGCTGTTGCCTCATTAAAACTAATTAATGCATGTTCTTTCTGATCAATGTTTTTCCGCACTTTTGTATGCTTCTCGATCTGCCCGCGAACGGTAGATAACTCTCGAGACGCTGTAATTATCCATGAATGAAGTTTACTTCTCGTGAGGCTAACCTTTCGCTTAGTATTTAATTCTTTACTGAATGAAGGAGCTCGATACATCCGCAGAAAAGGTCGTGATCGCTGCCCACACGACCTTCGCTCGTCGTTCCTGCTAGATAAGCCGTCAAAGGGACACTTTCGACAGAATAAGAAAATCAGTCTCTAAACAATAAAGCGCGCGACTGCTGTAAAAAAAAAATAATTTTGAAGAAAGAAATCTCTTTCGCAAATATATTGTAATTTTCAATTAATTCTCATCTTTAGGTAACACGATTTCCTTTCGCAATTAAGACGCACCTTCCTGTGGTCGTTGAACGCAATGAGTATTTACGATGCACCTCGCGTAAAGATAAAAAAAGATCCGACACCGTAAACGCTTCATTACTGTCGGCTACCTGCGTCAAGCTTCGAAATTATCGACTCCATTAACGACTATGGCGAAACTGCGATTATCTTATCGATCCATCGAGAAATATGCGAATATGTCTTTACTTTATTGTACGAAACTTTCATGTACAAAGCAGTCAAACATTATTCGAATTTTGACACACTTATGGATTTACGAATTATGCGATGCTAAATGTTAATCTCTTATTACTTCATTCTCTATAACCGATTAGGTTATTCTCTATAACCGATTAGGTTATTCGTGCTATGTTTAAAAATGCAGACAATTCCTAAAAGATATTTTCACGGCTTATGATAATATAAATTTGATCCGTCTCGTCTGCAAAGGGGATCTAACATAAACCTTCTTCGTCTTTTGAAAAGATTTTATTAGCGGACGTCGCACACAGGTTTATTGCAGTGTATCCGCGATCTTCATGTTAAGAATAGCTGATGACCCTGGGAGAACTACGAGTTAGAATAATTCACTTTCCGTCTCGTCCATGAACTATGAGTTTCATAATTCCGTGATGAGTTTGTGTTTCAAAAACGTTGATTTCACGAGTTTCCAAGAATTTGAATATAAATTTGATTCTCATTAACACATTCGCGATGAATGTCGGCGTCTAGTGTCTTGATCAGAAACTCCTTCGTTCCTGAGGAGATCAATTCGAGAATACCAAATTGATCTTTGGACACATAAAAATTAACACTATTAAATTAAATTATATAAAAAAGTCAAATAAAATAAAAGAGAGAGAAATAAGAGAAATATAATAATAATTATTTTTAAAAAATTGAAAAAATAATAATAAGATTAAAAGTTAAATTTTAGATATCGATGAAGAATATCCATAAAAATATTACCATGTATTTGCATTTAAATTGTTTCGAATATCATCGTCCATATTCTTAAACTCATTGGAATTCGGAAATTCCGAAGGACATGACTAGTTCGTTACGGATGCATTTTTTTCAGGTATCTAAAAAAGTTCAAGATCTTTAACTATATATAATTTTGTCATAAATTAATTAAACTTTACAAAATATTAAAAATGCTTGTATAATTTTATTTTTTTGATTTTTATTAATACATATTTATTAATATATATTTTATACACAGTATTTTTGTTATATAATAAGATTAAGATATCTGATAAAGAAAGAAAGAAGAACTTGTATTCGAAACTTCAACGGTACTACCTTCATCATCAATCGTTATTACGTATTACTTGTGAAGTAACAAGTATTATGAAGTAACTAATTTTTGCTGTGCAGCACTTCGATAAGTTAACGCATTAACTGCTATGCAAATTGCAGAATATCTGCATGATGTTTTCCAATTCATCAGGAATGTACGAAGTAGCAGCATTTCGTTGTTGTTGGATTTCAAGTTTTCTTCAGAATTTCTCGCTAAAGAGTCGCAATCGAGGAGCTCACATTATTATTCCTCGAAAACTGATTAATTCTGTTGCGCTTCAAGAAGCGATATAAACATGTTGCATGAGGAAGCGATCTCATGATCTAAAGTAATCTTATGATTTTTATCACACTAATTTACTAATATCACACGTTAAGTTAATTGTACACAATAAAAATATAAAAATGTTGATAATTACAACTTCCAAAAGTACACGATATTATTGCATTGTAATGAGTTAAATCAATTAAAAGATACTCTAAAATATGAAAATATGAAAATATGTTAATAAGAGATATATTTTGGGGAGTTTATTAGAATTTCATCGTAAAATTTATTATAATTTTTCCTATTTTATAATTTTTTTAATAATTTTAATTTGTTTTATATATATTTAATTTGATTTATTTGATCAAAAACATTTTATACTCTTGACCAAGATTGGAGTTCCAATTTCTCTCGACGTTACATTGGAATTAATTAGTGCATTCTTCGACAAAACACGCAAGATAACATGTGGGAGTCGGCAGGCATTTTCTTCTAGTTAATTAAAGATCAATAATTATTTATTTATAACTGCCGGATTTCCAGAAAAATTTACCGCTTAAATATAAATAATTAATTTTATGCTAAATTTATGCAATCTCTGCTCATTGATAGATTGATATTTTCTAGATTTCTAAACAAATTCATAATTGTGAACGTTTTAAGATTGCTCCATTGAGTATGTTTGGACATAAAGAACAAAGAAACAACAATAATACACTCATAACTTCGTGGACCAAATTTTCATTTAGTATTGAAAAATTAATTTACTATAAAAAATAATAACTAATAAAGCTCATTATAACCAATTATGATTATTCATTTCATAATAAGATTATAGCAAAGCTGTAATTGACAAATCCAAGATGATGTACGTATCTATTCTTTTGTTCGACTAAAAAATATATAGATGACTGAAGATGTGTCTATGACAACATTGTGATCAAATAAACTTGTTCTCTTAAGATCGAGATTTCGTTTTTTATAGTTGAAATTCGGCAATCTTCGTTACGTCCTTGAGGAGAATGGAGAATGTTATAAATCACTTCCCATAATTAGAATATTGTCCGAATGCTTGATTCTTCTAAAAATAATATCAGTCATTATAGCTGAATCCTGATTTTAATAGTTATCTTAGGAAGCTGTATATAAATTATTAATCAAATTACGTTATTAAAGCTACTGCTACTTTTATAAAATAATTCCATATTGATTATAATTAAAAGCGTGGTTGTTTATAATTTAATAATTTATCAAAAATTATTATTTTATGAAACGAACTTGATTTATCTATTACGTGTTAGAAATAATTACCGATTCTACAGCATTCTCAATAATTTATTTAATACTTAATTCTAATCATCAAACATCAATTTTGCTTATCTTTACATTAATTTAATTGGATAAATTAATACATTTAATTAATGTTTAGTAATAGTTATAAATTATTGACAGAACTACGATATAAATTTTAATTAGACCGCAAATATTTTATAATATTTCGTAATATCATCTTCATAGAAATACGAATCATTGAGTGAAAAACATGGACATAATTCGACATAAATTTACATTTCCTACGAAATATCAAAGGTACTGAAACAGCAGCCGCAGGCATAATGAAGCGTGCGATGTTACACGGTCAGTCCTCGGCTGTCGTAACCATGATGTAAGCAGAAGATGAAAGAAAAGAAGACAGGTGTGACCATCGCGGCCTGTAATAAGAAGACAAAGAGCTTTTGTATCGTGACTATCTCGCGTGATTTTAATAACCGTGCGTGGGTGAATACGCATTTTTCCTCTTTGAGAGCACTCGAAACTTCATGATCGCATTGGTCGCACCTGTTGCATTTTGCATAAATATTTGCATACAAAGAATTCTCTTTGATTGACGAAGACGATTATCTTTCACATGTTTGAAATGACATGATTAAAAAAGCGGATTATTGAATTAGATTTTTCTTAATTTCTTAATTTAAAATTGAATTATTATTATTAATTTATTTTATCAGTGATACTAAAGTTGTCATGACAATGATAATCATTGATAAACCATTACCATTTAACTTTTCTGAAAACAACATTAGTAAGATTCAGTATTTTTAATAATGCACAATTTATTTTTTGTAGAATATATATATTCATATCTAATAATATTATATTTATAATATATGAATATATTTCGTAATACTGTGGTCTTATAATTTCTGTAAGGAATTTTGTTCTTCTTTTTTTAGAATTTTGTCGTAGACAAAACTGCGTGCACAATTTGACACACGTATTACATGAATCATGTTCCTCGCAACATTGAATCAATCTTGACGACAAAAAGGGAGAAAACAGTAGATCATTTTTGAACTAAGCTCACTCGTTAGATGGTATTCCAGAGGGAATCCAAAAGGAGGTCGATATTTTGTGTTCACCTTAATAATAGCCGTAATGACCATAATGACCATAGCCACCATAATACGGATATCCTAAATAGCAATAAAAAGATACTTTAATATTATCATGAAAATAATCTTTTTGTTCGTGTATGACCAAACGTGAATAACTTCTTTGTTAGAAGGATATAAATTAACATGTATATGTAAACTATTTTGTACAGTTTGCGTGATATAAAATTATGTAATAAAAAATTGTTATAGCATTTATATAAAATCTGTGCGTTATTTCATTAAAAGAATCATTTATTTATTCTATCACCAATCTATAAAGTGTACTTTCTATTAATAATTGTACTGATAATGTTTTATTCAAATTATTCAAAATTGAATTAAAATTGCTTGATTTTACAATATTTTACGAAAATGTCATATTAAATGATTATATGAAAAATATGATGTTAAATGTTATAAATTATATGTTGTACAAAATTAAAAGAAAAATATACAAATTTATAAGAAAATGGCGATTCTGCAAATAGGATTAGTAACGGAATTTGTAAACTGTGTAGATTTAGAAAAAAATCTTACCGTATCCATAACCATGACCAAAGCCATGTCCATATCCATGGCCATATCCATGGCCATAACCGTAAAATGGGAATTTATATCCGTAAGAATACGGATAGAAACCATATCCATAGCCTAAATATCCCGGCTTTGCAACTGCCACACCGATTGCAACGGTCAAGAGCAGAACAAGATACTACAACAGTAAAAGAAGATTAAATACATTAAGAAGAAATCAGCGCAGCTTAAATATACCTTGATGAATATCAAAACCGAGGAAAATAGGATTTATGAAAGTGAAATATCCTTTTTTCTTCACAATTACATCGACGTAATACAAGATAAATAATTTTAAAAGTAATCTTTTAATAATTTATCTATGTATTAAAATAAAAAGTAAAAAAGTTAAATACTAATTTTACATTCAATACTGCATTTCGTTAACTGAATATTTTTTTATAGTATAGAAAGGATCAAGAATATTACATAATGCTAGAAGAAGTTTATCCGGATTAATCTTCCACACAATAATCATGCATCACTTGTGTAGCAATAATAAAGCAAATATCACTTTAATGACTGACATACCGTCATACGATGTCGAAATTTTATACTAATGTATATAAAATAATGTCAACAAAATAATAATAATTTAAATTTACAAAATGTTTTGTTACATTATATTACAAAATTTATTGTAGAATATTTCTTCAGCAAAAAATCAGTATTGCAATAAATTATCATCATTAATTTCTGGAGTACCATCAATTAAACACTTACCAGCTTTAGGCACGCCATTCTTCGTGATTGAAATTGTCGTTTGCAGTCCGACTGACGTCTTGTTAACAATCGCACCGATTTTTTCCCATCTGTCGTCGCCGAATACCACTGTCCATTGTTTCTGCGAAACGGGTGCTTTTATAAGAAAGGCGGGGTCCCTTCGTGAGACGGTGGACCCCCCACGAGCGGTACGTTTTTCCGGGGCTCGCGCTGGTCTCCGCCTGTTGTGCTAATAGGAAACTTCATTGTTACCCTGGGATTATGCGAATTGCGATTTTGCGTTATGAAAGAAACGCGACGCAGCGTACAGTGCAGCAACGCACGTGTGACGGGGTCACATGAGTCCACGCCCGATGAACGCCTTGACATCCAAATTTCTTCTCCGGCGCGATTGCTCGCGTGTGTCCGCGGCTCCGTAAACCCCTCATTACGACGGGAGAGAATGATACGTCGCAACCGTCGGTTGCGATACTTAATGCCGCTGCTGAAATCGCTAATCGCTTATCGCCGACGATAATGCGCGGGCCCGCCGCGTCGGTGAATCCCAGCAGCAGGCCCGGCTCCGGAGAAGGAAACGCTCGCGTCGAATATATCGTAACCGAAACAGAAAGAGATGACGGACGACGCTTACGCCGGCAGACGATTACGTAAACCGGGATTCTGTTACAAAATGTGTAGTTGGTGAAATTATGTTGATACCCTGATAGCGCTTGATGTATGCGTATCCGATTTGTCAATTGCGTGGCGACATTTCTAGCGACGCGTCCGTCCCTCTCGATCGAGGAAAGATAATTGAGGTATTAAGAATAAAAAGAATCCAAATAGACAAATGATCATCTTTGCGTTAATCAATTAGGGACGAAATGAAAAACGTCAGTTCCGATACTTTTAAGTTTTAGAAATTAAATTTACATAGAATACTAATACCGAATGACACCAAATTAGAGACACCATATTATTCCTTACGGATACAAGATATACGAGTTGAATTGGCCAATTCAACGTGTAACATATAATTAATTAATTCAGCAGGGTATTAATTTCTTGGGAGTGGATACTCGTCTTGGCCTATTCCAATCTATTTTTATCAAATACGGCGGATATCTTTTGACCTGTTTTATCAATCATGTCTCAGCAGAACAATACATTACAATACGTAATATACAATTTGCATAACCGTCGCATAATAATGACATAGTAATTAACAGAAGATATTGTATCACATTGGTAAATTTGGTCAAAGAATTACAAGAAATTATCTTTTACAAAAAATTATTTAAATGAAAAATATTATTCATCGATATTGTAGTATAATAGAAAATAATTGGTAAATTGTTAAAAAAATTAAATAAATTTTGATTATTCTATTGGTTCCTTTAACTTATATATATAACAATTATGTTTCTTTTCATATTCCAGCAGAATTTATGAGAATACAATTAACAGTTATAATTGGCATTTCCGACAATCGAAACATTGAAATAAATATCTTACAACTTGTCTTCAACTTTATTGGAATATAATTTTCTTTGCTACCTTTACCTTCATGGTCGATTATTCACATTTTCCACCGTTTCGATTTATTCTCCGTTCTCAACAAACGAGATCGAATCTATAATCGATATTCAGAACAGTGAAGGATTTCCTGCGTGTTACGTAACGCATCGTTACAATTATTACGCATTTACCTTGACGTGTAATAATCTATTTTTATAGTCCTCTTAGTGATTTATTTGGATTTATCATGAAACACATTTTTTTAAATTTATTTGTAATATTTCTAAATTTAAACACAAGTATAATTATTATTGTTATACAATAAAAAATTAATATATTACATTCAAAATATTTAGTTATTAAAATTAATTAAATTTAAAATCATATATATTTTAATTTAAACTTACTGTATTTTAATGTAGACTGGAAGGGGATACTGTTATATATTTTTGCATAAATCGAATGTCTACGGCTTGTTAACAGTTATCTTTTCACGCAAAGAAACGGACATATCTAATTGCACGGAAATTAAATCTCTCTAACATCGCGTGTCTTGCAAAATCGCATTTCATATCGTCATTGACGCAGCAGACGCGACGTATATGCAAAATCATATGGAGGCTACGAAAATTACTGAACCATGCACACCATGTATTATTGTTAGAGACAAAGAATAATTGTGTAGATAAAGGCCGGCGGCAATAATCATGAGAACATTTTCTATATCATAATCCTGAGAACGCTGTAATGGAAACTGATGATAAATGTAAATGCACGTGTCGCGCAGCGTCTATAATTAGTGAGCTTGTTAATTATTGACTTTTTCTTTGTATCAAACATGATAATGCCGCATCTACAATAAATTAAAATTATAACATCTTTTTTACATATCTCTATTATCTGTTTTATAATTTATTCTGTAATGGAATATATAATAAGTTACAGCCAACATCCAAATAATATTATTTTCTTAGAATTTAAAAGGCAGAAGAAGTTCCTACATAAATTGTTCTTATAACGTATATACATCATCTAATAATATCTTTTCCTAAATTTTTGAATCTTGAAGATTTTATTTACATTTAAAAAATTACATATTTTGATATTTTTAATTTATTCTTCCTTTTAATTTTAGAATCAAAGCGCTCTTGTGTGTGTGTGTGTGTGTGTGTGTGTGTGTGTGTGTGTGTGTGTGTGTGTGTGTGTGTGTGTGTGTGTGTGTGTGTGTGAAAAATTATAACAAGAGGATAATTTTTTAAAAAGTTTCTCATAGTTTTCATAATTTTCCTTATCTTTAGAATACATTATACGTTTATAATTTTTCATATCTTTAGAATACATTCCAATTTTAATTTCACTTTCTTCTGCCAGATCTAATTTAATTAATTAATTTCCGACGATCAGATCTCTTCGGTTTTCGAGATTAGCTAGAAGTCGTTTCAGCTCCTTTCGTGCGGTCTTGTATCGATTAGAACTTGAAGCCGGCGCTACCTCTTCGTTGTTGAGCGCAGTAATTCGTTCGGGATTGTCATTTTCCGAGAGTTCTCCCGCTGGCGCCTCTGTTGCTTCAGCCGACTCACCTGAATCAGGTTTGTCCTTCGGCGGTAAATATTTCTTACCGTGAAATAGAGGTCCATAAGGGTGAAACGGGAATCCTAAATATGGATCGGCAAAGATGGGATAGCCAACGTGGCCAACCCCGACCACAGGGCCGCCCTTGAACACCCCATGGAAATGATCGTACGGCAGAAGATTGAAAGGGGATGGGAATCCGTGGAGGTGAAAAGTCCCTAGCAATGGCTTGACCCAAGGGGGCCCATAAGGAGGCGAGTACCCGTTTTTTGTCATGTTACTCTGATTGTTGTCATTCTCAGCTGCTTCGGTTTGTCTACTATTAATATTGTCATTGTTGTTGCCATTGTAGCCATATCCGGGCGGCCCGTACAAACCTGAACCGCCGTGGTAAGGACCGTGACCGTAACCATATCCGTTGCGTTCATTCCCAGAATGATTTCCATTTCTCTGATGAGGTCCATAAAAAGAGTCGTGACCTCCATATGGAAATGGGGAAAAGGGATGATGGAAATACGGCGGACCGTAACCTCGATGATTGGTCGCGTTGGTCTCCTGTCGAGCATTTTCCTCCGAGCTTGTCTCATCTGACTCACCTCCATATGGATGATGATGATGATGATGATGATGATGATATCCGTGTCCGTATGGATGGCCAAAACCATGGAAGACTCCGTAAGGTTTACCTAGAAAGGGCCCGTGGGGGAAGGCGGCTTTGGCAAAGTCAGCACCGTCATAAGAAGAATATAGATTGGTAGGTGATTCCTGAATTGATGATTCAATGTTGTCTGTAGATTTTGGAGTCGCGTCAAGATTTTCGTTGTTTGCTGAAAAATCATAAGATCTGTAAAAGCTTGGCTGTTCCTGGCGTAAATAAGATCTGTCTCGTAAAGATTCCTCGAGACGTTCATTTGATCCAGTTTCTTCGAATCTTCCAGGAGAATCTTTGTAAAGCTCATTATAAGGATAAGAACGTGGTTTGTAATACGTGACCGCATTTGACGTTTTGTCAACTATGTTATCCAGAATTGAGTGTGAATTCAAGTCATCGCTATTTAGACTAGCAGGTGCCGTCAAAGTGGATTGAAAAGATGATCGATTGCTTCGGGATTGTATATCACCTAAAATGGCCGGCGACAAGACTGAAGCTACATTTTTAGCAAAGTTTGCCAGGATATCCGGACCTGCGACAAAAAAAAATAATAATTTAATAAAATTCTGAATATAAAAATAATTCATTAGAATTTTAATTTTCTTCCTTCCTCGTTAAGTTTATATTAATCTTTATAAATAATTTGACAAGAAACTTTTATAATTGCATTTATATCTTTTGTTCAAATTTTGATCCAGATAATAACAGTTATGAGAATATATTGCTTCTTGTAAACGTTAAATTTGTAAATTTTGGAAAAAAACGTGTGCTTACTGACTGCACTTCTTGCTGCCTTTCCACCATTCAATACGCACCAAAGTGCGATGTAGTACAACAATATCTGTAAGAAGTAAGAAATTCATATTAAATCAAATAATAACGCTATATTATAACAAATCCACAACATAGTATGTAATTGTATCAAACAGTAACTTCTGCGAAGCTTCTGCGAAGAAGAAGTAATAAATTAATAAATATTTAAACGCGTTTTATAATTTCTCAAAGAATGTTTCTTTTATATACGATAGTTTTGTAAATTTAAGTTTATTGTATTTGTAATATCAGAAATTATTTTATAAATAATTTTAATAACCTTATAATTAAATTATTAAATTATCTTTTCCTAAAAAGATATGTGTAATAAATATTTATTTGTGCTATAATTGAAAATCAGATTTTTACTTGATTCGCTTTCGTTTTAAAAAAAAATTTAACAGTAAATTATCATTTAACTATCCTGCAAAATGTTCAAGATAAAAGTAAAATAAATAATTATATTTTAAATATAAAATTAATATTGCATATACAAAGATTCTTTATTTTAATATGATTAATAAGATATCAAATCTAAAAACTTTTCATTCCTCACATATTATATCTGAACATAAAATAATTTAATTATCTCTTGCTATTTGATATTCAACATTGTTTACAAAAAAGGCTACGAACTGCGTAACGCATGATAACATGAATAGCGTGACCAGCGCGATATTTTCCATAGAATTATGTTTTATTTGCCATTGCGTAAGGAGACGCGTATACATGTAAATTCGACGATCAACGCATCGTTCCAGCAGCAGGTTTTGCAAAATCTCGGCAAAAAGAAGCACTGGTACACGTACACACACATATGAGCGCAAATATCAGTCCTGTATATGCCTATTACCGCGTCTCGTCGTGCGGAACTTGCTTCTTATAATAATAGAATCGAATCAGTCTGTGTGCGGTCACGCCGATTGCATTTTCGCAAAGTAATACATATTGCGGAAATGCTGTTTGAACATATGGAATTTTCGGTGAAGTTGCTTTACGGCTGCTGCGAGGTAATCGCACAATAAAGCATAAAACTTTCTAAGAAGTGACCAGTCTTTATAAAAATAATTAATAAACAATACTTGCAATGGCTTGCAAGTGGCTTTAAAAAGAAAAAGGTTTCTAGAGAAGAGAAACTAAATAACGGAACTTGTAATTGAAGATTTTCTTTTGATTTATGTAAGAATCATATAAGAGACAGTATTGTTATGTTTATATGTGTTTCACCGTCTATTACTTCTTACCCGTTATTTTATGAAATACATAGTTATCAAGAAATAATTTGAAGACATTTTTTAATAAAGGTATCCGCATAGATGGGTGACTTTCGCTGTATATTGTAATATTAATATAAGAATGCTAAGTTTACATCATAGTTAAATATGAATAATAATAAAAATTATAAAAATAAAAATTATATATTATTACAATTATATATTATATTGTTTTAATTTATTTCTATGAAATTTCTTGGATTAATTAAAAATTCTGTAAAAACATAATCTACTGGAAAAAAATGCAAAGATATAGTTTTAGTATAAGATATGTATATGTTAGATAAAGAAAAACTGAAATGTTAAAAAATGGAATATTTCTAAAATAGAATAATGAATTATTTATTTAGTGCGTGTTAAAAAATTTAAAATTGAAGAAATTAAAAATTAAAAAAGTTTTCTGTATAGATATTCATTCACCAGATTGATTTTTGCAAGTTACGCGCTCTACACATCATCGCCTGTAATTCTTTGCACAATTAATCGTGAATCATCATTCGACTGCGATTTAAAATTATATCGATATTCTTTAATTATAAGTTATATACATAAAACTGCATATCTCGATGATCTCGTTTAAAGACGAATTATTAGATCTTTGTATGATTCATTTGTTCCTTGAAGTAAAAGAAATGTTTTTAAGTCGCGCAACATACACATATTCAAGTGACGTGAATTATGGAATCGTAATTTCTTTTTACATTTTAAATAGACAATTAGCAAATTAATACTTTTTACATATATGTAACCTAAATAAATCGACAAATATTTATACAGAAAATATTTATAGAAATATTCATAGAAGATTATTTTTAACATTAACAATATAAATACGCACGCTAATATATACAGTTTAAAAATAAAGTAAAACCTACTTTTTTCTTAATTAAGAATTAATAAATATAGTACTTAATCATAAATCATTAAATATTGTAATCGAAATGTTTTTCTTCTTTTTCTTTTTGTAGTACATAAAAGTACGTAAAAATAATTACATAAAAATAAAGTATATAAAAGTAAATAATAAAAGTAAGTAATAAAGTATATAAAAATAAGTAATAAAAATAAAATACATAAAAATAAAGTACATAAAAATATATTATCTGCAATTTAGATACAAATTTTTATAAAAAATATTCATGATATTCATTAATATACAATGTTTTCAATGCAATTGATAATCTTGTAACAATTATATAATGTTTAAACTGTGCGTTGCAATACGCAGACAATATTAAAAGAATAAAATATCTATATTCTCATTAATGAATTCACAAATGATTTATTTGATTATTATATAAAATCACGAGAATAAGTACACTACAAATAATTTACGTATTCGATTATAAAGGAGAAATGTTAATTGCAAATATTTCGATAGACATTTCGCAGTTTGACACATTACACAAATCTATTCGTGGCACGTGGCAAATTTTTGCCATTTGCGATGATTAATTGCGCTACCACGGATCGTGACATCGTTACGAAATTGCAATTTTGTTGCTTCTCCCTGTGCGACCAACGGATTTTACATGCAAGGATACTCACGTGCGACGCGTAATGCATCGTGCGTGCGGCTCGTGACGACTAAGGGACAGACATTGTGTCCGATGTCATTTATACTTTCTCTCCTTAAAAGCCTTTTACCCTCGATGCTAAGTGCTGGGGTATAAGGGATGGATAGCAAAATTATAATTTTCACATTTTTTGATTACGCAAGTTATAAGTTTTATCAAATTTAGCGAGACAAATGAGCGAGAGATTACATAATGACGTTAGCATATTTTGGCATAAAATATTAACTCATCAATATTTGGCATTTATAAATACTTAAACTAAAACTAACGCAACGTTTTAAAGGCGTCTGTTTATTTATGCATTGTTATTGAATCTTGATAAATAATATGACAAAAATACAATGGTACATAAATGTAGAACGCATAAATATATAAAATGCCGTGTTGCAATTTTCTATTTTTTACAAATTTACAAAAATTTTGTTTTTAAATAATGCACATTACTATTCACAATTACGAGTAATAAAACGTAAAAGTCATCGTGTAATTTAAGTTTGACATAAATTAACTTGGCGAAAACTGCAAGCTAATAGTGTTTGATCGTTACTAATATATTGCTAATAATTAATAACATCATGTCACCATGATGCAACATCAAAATGGATAGTTTGATGTCTGTTCTTTGAAAAACTTTGTGAAAAAAGAGAAATTTGATTTATTAATGCATCTGATGATTAATGACGAGATCGTTTGACGGTCTAATAGCCGATTTGGCTAATCGTGCCAATGATACCAGGAGCGATGACTCCGGGAAGATTATAAATTTGCACAGGTCGAGGTGAAATTCCTTCCAGCCTGGTCGCTCGGAAATTCGGTGTGATAATTACTGGCCGTTGAGTGTTGCTCAAAATGTTAAACTGTCTGGCTTGAGGCTGAGCATTAACCTGTCTATATCCCGAATACTTGGCGATCATGCCGGTCACGCTTCCGTAAGGAATCCCACCTGTTGAATAAAACAATCGATTAGTAAAGCTTTTCTAACACTCGCAATTAAAACAGTAATAAATAAATTAAAAGTAATATACAAAATAATTGTTTTAAGTAATTTTAATATACATTTTTTATTTTATTTGCTTTGGCATTCATTTTAAACATAATTTTTGAATGATTGTGCTTTGGCTAATAATAATAATTGTCACAGACGTTGCCTATAGCATAAGATTTTCGAACGATAATTTAATGATATTTAATTTAAGATGCAAATGATTTCCTCAAATCGTAATTTTTGAATATAACATGTATTTGTTATTAAAAATTAATTATATATTTATAAAATTCATTACGTCTTATAATAAATTTAGATTCATTTTTTTACAAACAAGTTGTTTAATTATTTATTTTTAATAAACTATGAAAAAGTTATTGTAATTCAAAGCTATTGTAATTCAAGAGAATTTGGAAAAATGTAAAGTAGTTTTTTAATTTGTGTCAAGAATGATTTAGCTGTCTGAAATAATTTTAAGGTGATTCAAGTAAATAAGTTTGTATAAATTTTCTATATAAAATTATTATATAAAAAACAGTATTGGTTTACATTCTACATAAATGAGTATATTTGCATTAATAAAAAGTTAAATTAATAAATTCACTGTTCGAATGGTCTGACATATGTCTTAATATTCAATATATATGATATTTTCATGTCAGGTGAAAGGAAGGAAGGTTTAATCATCAAAGATCACTAGTGCTGCTTTCTGTTGGAACCTAATCTGTTTAAAAAGACATAACAAAAACAAAAATTTACTAAATTCGCGTATAACACACGAAAATATCTAGTTTAGTATAAAAATTACTTAAACACAGAGAAAGAAAGAGAAGAGAAATTGTAAAGATTTCTGTAAAGATGTAAATTATTTTTATCTTTAAAGAGATATTATTAATTTTAATAAATGGATTGATTAAATAGAATAATAAATATTGATAATTGATTTTGATTAAATATTACAATAATTATTTTTTATAAATATGGTATTATAATTAAGTTACTCCATAATTCTTTTTAGATGTTTATATATCTTTTTAAATTAATGAAAAACTATAATCATTGATTATAAATTTTCAGGATGTCCTCAGAATATGTGTATACATATTATGTGTATACATAGTATCATATTTCGTATGTATTCTCAGGATATACTAAAAAACTTTATTAAATATCTAACTTACCATATGCCAATCCGTTCACCATTTCTACTATCCCTGCACTGTCTGGTGCTGCTATCGATAATTTTAATAGCGCCATGAGTCCAAATAACAGAGTAATCTGTGGAAAATCACATGTAACTGTACCATGGTGACTTCGATGCTTGCTTGAATGCCTTTATGCAACAATGCAGTAACAATGCAGTAACTCATGCAATAAAAACTATGTTTCTATAATTAGTTATTAATAAATTAAACATATAGTTATAACATAATTACGTTATAAAGTGTTCTCGTATTAATAATTAATAAAATTTATAAGAACGGCACGTATAAAAAATAAGTCATGGTTACATCTTAGTTATTCGCATATTTTAAATTTTTTTATTGATAATCTACATTAATTGCATAAACTTGCAATCCTTATTGATAAATATTTATTATTCGTCTTCAATGCTTTTAAGATAAATAATGTTAAAGCAATTTTACGCCAGATTGATTCATGATTACACATTCATGATAAAACTTTATTTTTATTATTTCTAATATAATTCTAGTAAAGTCCTTTTTTTATTGACTTTAACTATAAAATGTAGTCATAAAACAAAGTCTTCTCTTAATAAATAATTTATATCTATTTTTTACGTCTCATATGTATGTGTGTATGTG